AAGAAAGTTCAAGCATGTAAGGGATCAGATCGAACATTGCCACCGCCAAGGGATTTGGTAAAGAATGAGGCCCCATATCGTCGTGCCATCATCGTAAGCCGAATAGGGGGGGTAATCCAAGTAGAAGAGGACTGGGAATACTGGCAAGACCTGTCTCATCGGCAGCAAGTCCGCCCAGCACATCCCGCAAGAGTCAATATCACAATGTATGCATGTTTGCCCCAATCCAAGTCAGAAGCATCAGGTGATTCGACCGAACAGAATATGAGTCCCGAGGCAACGGGAACAAGCATCGAGCCGCCGGAGGCAACCGTCAGCCTGCCAAGTAGTGACCAAGCACCTGTCACAGAGCTGGATCCGGATCAGACCAAAGAGACAGGAGCGAGTTCGAGTCAACTCCATATGCCGAGCTTTGACCATGGCCCAAAGTTCAAGACCATATCAGCCGAAGAAAAATCGTTCTTGCTGAAATTGCATCAGAACCTAGGACACCCTCATGGTCAAAAGCTGTGTTCAATGCTGCGTCAACAGGGGTACTCACCCCGATTGTGTCAAGCTGCCATGGACCTAAGTTGTTCCGTATGTCAGAATACTAAGGAACCCAAACATCAAAGACCTTCTACAATCAAACGTGAGCTAGATTTCAACGACTGTATTGGGATAGATGGTGTTGTATACACGAATCTGGCAGGAACCAACTTCCACTTCTATCACATCATCGACTATGGAACAAACTACCAGGTAGCATGTGCAAGCCCAGGTAAAAGCAGTGATGATGCAATAGACAAGGTGCTCAATGGATGGCTCCAATGGGCAGGGGCTCCGATTGAGATTCACACAGACTCAGGGACGGAATTCACATCCAAGGAATTTGTCACTTTTCTAGGCCAGTTCAACATCAAAGCAATAGTTACCCCACCAGGTGCACACTGGCAAATCGGAAAAGTAGAAAGACATGGTGGAATCCTACAGGAAATGCTCAAGAAGTATGAACAGGAACATCCAATAACGTCATACACCAACCTGCAGACAGCACTATCGCACTGCACTTCTGCCAAGAATGCACTGAGCCAGAAACAGGGATACTCCCCAGAAACTCTTGTTTTTGGAAAAGGGTCCAGAATTCCAGCATCAATCTCATCGGACGAGCAATTGCCATCGCACCTCCTGGCAGACGATGACACCCAGGAAGGAATCAGATTTCGAGAAAAGCTGGCATACCGCGAAGCTGCACGACGAGCTTTTCACTGTGCAGACAACAGCTCTGCGTTGCGAAGAGCTGTCCTCACCGAGGATCCTATGACAGGGGAACTTGGGTGATGCTATGGAGACAGACTCCAACCCAACGGGGGTGGTTTGGTCCAGCCAGAGTCATCCAACAAGAAGGTCCCCATTGTCTTTGGTGTAATCACGCAGGAAGCTTGGTAAAGATAGCCCCTGAACATGTTCGACCCGTAAGTGCCATGGAAGCCCAGCATATCCCCCGAGCTCTAAGTCCGATCGCAGGGATTGAAGGCGAAGATACACAAAATGCCAACATTCGTGAACAAGCACCCGCAACTCCACCAGAGAGCCAAGAAGATAGCAATATAATCCCACAACACGTAGGAACAGGAAACACATCGAATTTGTCAGAGGTCCAGCCAGATCAAGAGCCCTCGATTCCAGAGAGTCAAGTGTCTCCAGCGAGCCGACAAAGCATCGAATTGCCGAGTGACCCCGGCGGTCATCAGGATGCAGCAAGTGTGCCGGTCCCAAGCGAAGCATCCGATCTCAGTGATGAACTCGTATGCGACTCCCTACTAAGTGTAGAAGATCAGGTCAACTGGTGCCAAACCCAAATAGACTCAGAAGCCGTAGGTTGGAAAGCTGAATTCCTGTTTCCCCAAGAAACAATGATGAAATGGGATGAAAACTCACCAGCAACAGATCTTATCATGATGACTACCACCACCAAGCGTGACCGAACAGAAGTAAAGATGCACCAATTGTCCACCGAAGAACAAGCTCTCTTCCGCCAAGCAAAGGAAAAGGAGATCACAAATTGGTTAAACACAGGGACGGTGAGTAAAATCTTTCGGGATCAGCTGTGTCCGGAACAGGTAATGCGTTGCCGCTGGATATGCGTATGGAAACCCCTTGATGCTGACGACCTTCAAACCGGATCAACTGAGAACGTCAGACCAGGACCAAAGACCCATAAACCGAAAGCACGTCTAGTAGTCCTTGGATATCAAGATCCCCAGTTAGACAGCATACCCCGGGACTCGCCGACACTTGGAAAGCAATCCAAAATGCTCTTGTTGCAAGCAATATCATCCATGGGATGGACTCTGAAAAGCTTCGATATCAAAGCTGCAGTTTTGCAAGGCAAAACGCAGGAAGATCGAGTTCTAGGCCTGGAACCTGTTGAAGAACTTCGAAGGGCATTGAAACTTCAACCCAATCAAATCTGCAAACTCGAAAAATCAGCCTACGGTTTGATCGATGCTCCTTATTTGTGGCATAAGGAATTGGATCGGACCCTTCGTGATTTGAACTTCATTCCAGCACCCTTCGACCCATGCGCATACGTACTATACAAACCAGGACAATGCAAAATTTCGGGGGTCCTAGGAGTTCATGTTGACGATGGACTAGGTGGAGGAGATCAATACTTTGAAGAACAAATCTCAAAGCTAGAAGCCAAATTCCCATTTGGATCAAAGAAAGTAGGTCAATTCACGTTCACTGGTGTTGAGATGAACCAACAGGCAGACAAAAGTATCATCATGTCCCAATCCAAGTATGTAAGCAAGATTGAGCCAATCCACATGAATGCAAGCAGACGAACATGTCTGACGGATGAAGTGACCTCCGAAGAGAGACACTCGCTCCGTGCACTTGTGGGAAGTCTTCAGTACGCGAGCATCAACACGAGACCGGATCTTTCAAGTCGACTAAGCTACATCCAAAGTGAGATCAACAAAGCCACGGTCCAAACGTTGCACGATGCCAACCGTGTACTTCATGAAGCAAAACGATACAAAGACACATGCATCAGAATCCAACCCATCCCAATCAAGGATCTCAGATTCTTGTTATTCTCGGACGCATCATTTGCGTCGGCCAAGAGCCCAGAAAGTCACACAGGCATGATCATCTTGGCCACCCATAGGGGTATAAGTGAGAACTATCAATGCCCAGTCAGCCCGTTGTCCTGGGGTTGCCGCAAGATCCAGAAAGTAGTTACGAGTACTTTGTCAGCCGAAACAACATCGCTCCAAACAAGCTTAGACCAGCTATCTTGGATGAGACTCTATTGGGCATGGATCCAAAATCCCCAAGTCAATTGGAAACGACCACATGAGGTTTTTAAGAGTGAGCCCAAACCAATCCAATCTACCACAGCCTTAGCCCAGTGTTTGCCACGATCAGTAGCTGTCACAGATTGCAAATCTTTGTATGATTTGGTTACCCGAACTGCTCAACCAAATTGCCAGGAATTCCGTACACAACTTCAAGCAAAGGCAATAAAAGATTTGCTATCCGAAGGCATTCAATTAAGATGGGTTCATACAGGAGCTCAGCTCGCTGATGCACTAACTAAGGTGATGCAAGGAACTTTCCTCCGATACACTTTGCAACGAGGCATGTATCAACTAAATGACGAACTGCAAGTGCTGAAAGAGCGAGCTGACAGCAGAACACGCCTTAGGTGGCTTGAGTCCGGGATCCCTCTAATGGGAGACCAGCAGCAAGAAGGATGATCGACACACAAACAAAAAAAAGATTGATAGAATTTTTGATGAGTGTGAATTTCGAACCTTTCGGTCACTGAGGAACCAGTCTTGACCCACTCAGGTGTGTTCACGTCCGAAGCCACGAGTGTGCGAGGCCGCAAGGGTGGTGTAGGGTGGGTCACCCGTGACCTGAGCCATAGAAGCAGTGAGGACACTGCAGGGCGAGGCGCCCGACCGTTCGTACCAACCTTCAGGTGAGCTGTGAGTGGAAAACGCACGCGGCTGTGCGAGGGAAGGAGGATCTTTTGTTGCTACCTTTGTGTCAATCACAACTTATATATATATATATGTTATATTGAAAGGGAATGAAAGGGATGGATTCTTGCTGAACATCTTCAGACCAACGCATCATATCTTTGACCTGTCGATTTGGCCCCAAACATGACCCAAAAGGTGGCCCGCGGAGCCGTGGCATCCCTGATTCCTATCTCCCTCCTGAGCGTTTCTCAAAACCTTGATGAAATCCCATGTCGTATCATTGTGCTTACGCTTGTGCTTACGCGACTCACATGTTTGCTTACGCGGTACACTTGGAGCAAGAAGGGCTTACGCAGACCTTACGCGACATCAGTTTTGCACACAATGCAGCTGACACCACAACGCAAGCTTACGCGCTGGGATTTCTGAAAACTACTATTTAAAATAAAGAACATGTGTTTGCGCATATCTACTTTGGATCACTGGCATCTGTGTGTATGTTTGCTGCTGGTTTGGGCCTGCCACACATGGGGGTTTGACTGTTCAGCTGTAGTGTTAGGACTGTGCGTGTTCAGCACTTCGAGTTTAGACTGCATGTGTGTGTGTGGAGTTGGACTGTTCCTTAGTTCTTGCACTTCTGAGAGGGGTTGCATGAATATATTTCTTCAAAGCTTACGCATGGCTTACGCAAAAGGTTTCCTTACAAAAAGCTTACGCAACCTTACCCGCGTGCAGGTTTGCTTACCCACAACTTCGATATGACAACACACTGAGTAAACATGAACACGAAGGTTTAGCGAATGGCTCTCCTGGGCGTGGGCAAAAACGAACTCGGGTTGCCCGCCACTCACTTTCGAGATTGGCCACTCCCAACAGCATTGGGGTCCGGAGTTATCTACGTACCCTCCAACAGTCATGGAACATGGTCCCTTTTCCTCTACAAACAGGGGCTGTCCGTTTCCACCTGTGTTGGAGTGAGAAACATCAACACTTACGCTACCCATGTTTGCCACCACAGCTGCAAAGAAGATCGCGAAGGCCTTGTGCTCTGCCCAATTTGCTCGTAAGCAATCTATCAGGAAGAAACCAGAAACCTCAGCGCAGCTGCAGCTGCAGACTTCGTTGACGAGGCAAAGTCTGCCTATGTCTGCCTAAACAAACATCAACACTTATGGAAATCAGTTCTGGCTGACTCAACAAGGACGTTCCAAATTATGCTAAGATTAATCAGCTGTTGCAATCCCAGTTCATGGAACGGGCTCCAACATCAATTTTGAATCTACCCTAGGGATCCACATACCCTCTGAGGTACGGTGATTGGACCCTCCTGGCACCTACATCAAAGAGTCTCCAATCACCGTACCTCAGGTTCAGTGCCGATCCCCAAACGGGCGTTCGTCCAACGGCCATGCCCCACGCGTCATCAGCTGCGCTACGTCTCAAGGCGTGGGGAAGTTCCACGTCCGTCGTTCACAGCGTCCGTTCGATACACGTCCGTGAACGGACCGCGGCCGCTATGACAAAAAAGAAAACGCGGTGACCATCCTTGGGTCGCTATGCAGCAAGTGCAGGGCTCAAGTCTCCTGTACCACACCCAAGCCCCAGGTTTGGAGTATACCCTTGGTTGTTGTGCTCTCATGTGCTCAATGCAAGTAGGGGAACAAGATTTCCCTCGAGTTCCTTGTTGCTGTAAGAAGGCTACCTCAGCTACCAACATTGTTTTCGTGTGAGTCAAAGAGATCTTCCTTGTGCAACATCATGCGACCCAGAAAAAGGCTTCGGGTATCCTCAGAAAAAGAAAAAAAACGCAAATCCACTCAGCCATGGTCGGCCCCTGTATGTTGTTATCGCTTAGATTTGCTTCAGGAAGCGGAACAAAACCTCTTTCGTCGGGTGCGTAGATTCACTCGGAAAATCCACCTGACCCTGCAAGCCCTAGGGCTCCAAGAACCTTCCGAGAAAGTGTTTGGGGTGGGTGCCAGGAGGGTCCCCTCATACCTTCTGAGGATGTACTTGGAGCCCTAGGGGAAGCACCTCAGACTCACCAAAACGAAACAAAGGCCTCCGAGCGTCGATGTTGGAGACCGTCATCCCCACGCGATAGGCCACGTCGATGAGACCGTCGGATTTGGGCCACCAGGGGAAGTGTCGCGGCAAGTGGAGCATCGTCCTGAGGTCGAAGACCGAAGCACCGGTATGGCCGGTGGGCTAGACCGCAGGCCCCAGGCAGGAATGACCTGACCGACCGACCCGACCTGGAGATGATCCAATGACACAGCTCTGGCGGTCTGAGGACTCAACCCTTGTGATTCAACCACCAATGGTCTCAATGGCCAGTCGACACAGTCTCGGAGTGCCGGGAGTCGGAATCTCCGAGCTCGGGACTGGAGGATCAGCCTTTCCCAGTCAACCCCCAGTCAACACCGGCAGTCCACCAGGCCCATGGAGGCAGCGCGATCTGGTCGACCGATGTGACACTCGAACGAAAGGGAGCGATCCGATTGGCTGAAACCCTCGATTTCCTGACAGTTCTGAAATGTTCTGAATATCATGTGTACATCTGAGAGACATTCTTTTAATACAAACATATACTCATTATTATCCTTAATTCAACTAAAAACTGGACGTTATCGGTCTGGATTTTCTACCTTATCGTTTTACGCAGTGTTTTGAGTTCGCCGCATTCATATACCGCACTTGGGTTTTCGGTTTTGATGTGGACCCTATGGTTTTGCAGGGCTTTGTGCACAAACCTACCCCTCTTTACCAAATTGATCTTCGCATGTCTTGACCGTAGCTCATATGCATGTGTACTCTATAGTCATTGGCGCTGCATAGCTGCGCCAATTGGCCGTGCATAGATGCGCCCATCCCGTGAAGCCTCAGCATGGACCTGTTCGAAAACGACCTCAGCATGGACCTCCCAAGACCTTCGTCCCTCAGACCTGTTCCGTTCGCTTTCGACCTCCGAGTGCACCCAGGTCCCAGGCGAGACCTCCGGGTGGTCCCACCGCCCGAGGTCCCGAGGCTCGGGTGTATCAACCAAGCGTTGTAGAACAAGCTCCCGCACTCCGCGGCAAAGATGGCCAAGGTCAACGGCGCGCCCCCTGACGGCGAAAGAATTATAGGGTTCCATGTTCCAAAGTCCGTCTCCCACTCACAACATGGAAGTGGAAAACATTCAAACAACACCTATCTGGTCGAAGATGAGCGATCCGAGCAGGGAACTTTTTGGCCCTATGGATTTCTCCCGCGGGGGGGCAGTCGCTGAGGTGGAAAGCGCCTTCCGGTGCCTGAAGCAGCACCAAAATGCCTAACAAACCTCAGTCGTGTTCGTGAGAAGAGTGGAGATTGGGAGGCAAAATCTGTCCCTCGTCCCCCCAAATCTATGAATGGCTCAAAATGGCTCAAGGGGCTTTTTGCATTGATTGCACTCCCCACTCTTTGTTGAAGGAATGTCATGGTGTTGCAGGTGGGCTCCATCGAAGGACTTCCCCATTGACACGTTGGGGTGCAGTAACTGGCCTGTATGGCCATCCCCCCTTTCGAGCCACCCTGGTCCCCGTGGTATCCGTGCTATTTATGACATAGTTGTTTTTGTCAATCTCATTTACTAGGTCTTGTCTAGGATCAAAGGTTTGCAACCTGTGCTTTCCTCTTTGAGTGATTCCTGGATTCCTTGCTTACATAGCTATTGAATTGAAACTTTAAGAGCTTGGCAGATTTCTCCGTCGAAAGCACCAATCTTCCGCTGGGGTTCAAAAGCACAAATCCCTTTCTTCCGATTCGCCCGCGCTCTTCGCCCGATTCGCGAATCGAGATTTGCTCCACTTGCTTTAAGAAACCCTAAGCTGGAGGACACACCCAAAGCAAGTGGACACTGGCTTCTTGAATCAAGGCTTGTTCCACGGTAGAACATGTACTCTCCCTGGAAGACTCATGGTGGCACGGACAACGGCCATGAGGCAAACATGGGATGACCCAATCCAAAGACTCTACCCCCATCTACCCCCTACGATTCAAAAAACCATTATTGATTGCTTTAATGGTTTTTGGGTCAAGAACCATTGTTTTACTATCAGGGTTTGTACACTACAACAAAACCAGCTCAACCATGTGTATAAAATGGTCCTTGAAGGCGAACGGGGATGGGGCTCGAAATCGACTAATCCAGGCCACTCACCCCGTGGTGGAGTCGAAAAAGAATGTTATCCCAGCAGCGAGGCAAATCCTCAGAAAGGAACCGGAGTGAGGGCCAGGCCAAGAACCTGGATTTGGGTGGAAGGAGATTGGAAGAAATCCCAAGTAAGAAAGCATTTCATTTAATATATATATAAGCTATACACAATAATATACCAGACTCAGCTAGCCGAATTTCCGTGCTAAGATTTCTTCCTTTGACCACAATCCAAATAGGATCTTGAAAAGTCGATTCGGCGAGGGACATCCAGAGACCATGGCGTTGGACACACAAAAAAGGATTCGATAAGAGTCCCTCAATTTGGCCGACGACTCAGTGGATTTCAGATAGACCGGATAGACAGCGGCAATGTTTCCCATACATTTTGAGTGGGGTCTCTTACTTTTCTATCTATTGTTGGGATGCATTTAATCATTGACCTGGTTGGATATAGGTGCAACTGCCAGTCTCGCCCTCTGAACAGCCCTTCGGATCACCAGCGGAGTCGTTATAAGACTTGGCCTGCGTTGATGTGGGACGCCTGCGTTCGGTACGAGATCGTTGGCCAGAATGACCTCTCAGCTGCTCCTATGAATGTGGAAGAAGCCATCTTGGACCAGGGGTCATTCAAAAGATATCCGAAGAGGAGATACAGGAAGAGCCGCTGCCCAAAGAGTTTCTCCTGAAAGAGGCTGCCTGGCGGGTGGGTATGGAGATGGATGGAGATGGATTGATCTCCGCATGGCAGCGATTAGTTTCAGCCTGAAGATCCAAAATCATTGAGAGTTGCACAGGGTTTTGCATGAGGTTTGCCAAGCGGGAAGACATCAGTTTTACATCTGTCTGGTTCATTGGAAGACATTGGAAGCGGAGACCTTTCATCCAAACTCATACACACAGTTGTTGTGTTTGAACGGTCCACACCCTAGTTCATCCCCTTAACTGCAGGGCTGTGGTAGTGCCTGTCCGCCCGCCTGTCGGTGGCCGGGACTGAAACCGATTGTCCCTGAACTCCGTGGCCAGCGACAAAGGTGTTTTTGGTGTCTGGGCGTTCTGAAAACCGTAATGAACGACTGTTCATACACCCCACCTGGCAAGTTGAAATGATTGCTCCAAAAAGCATCCCAAGCATCCCCGGCTGTGCAGCAAGAAATTCCTGACCACTATCACTTTGTCATCTGCAGCTTCTTCACTTATCACCTCTACAATTCTCGGTTCATATTATATAATGTTGACTGCCTCCCAATGCACCATCACCGGACCCTCGCCTGTGCTGGGGACCCAAGCAACAGCTGCAGTGTGCCGGGAGTAAAAGCTATAAGCGATACTCAGCGGGTAGACCATGGATTGAAAGGTCATCGAGATGAGAAATGGCCCCAGCTCCTTGGCTGGTTCAAGGTGGACTTCGACTGCCGACGAAGAGCGCGTTCGTCGAAGAAAGCGCCGTAGTAGGCATAGTAGGCACCAGTATTTCACATCCTCCGCCGTTTTGGGTGCACAGTCTGTAGAGCTTCAGAGCTCCAGTTCACTGAAACTCTTACATTGTCTTATAGAGTCTTATATCATCTTATATCTATTGTGGCTGGCCACCTGCCTGGATCTTCCAACTGAAGAACAACATCTGGTAGTTGGGGTCATGGACCTAGTTTTCAGCGCACACGCACGCAAGTCAACGCTTTTCGGTAAAACAATCGCAATCTATATCGGAAAACGCACACAAAACAAGCAGACAAGCCAGACAAGCGCACAAATCCGTAAAACAAGGCAAACAAACAAAACGACCACAAAACTAAAACAACCAGGAACTTTGGGCATTTGGAAGATCCAGGTGGTTTCAAAGTGGAAGCGGACAACCGTGGTATCTTGTCTTGACCACTCGCTACACTGCCGCTACACAACCCATATATACTAAACACAACAAGACTTGTCAGGATTTGCGCGCAAAACTCATCTCAGTTCTTGATCCGTGCTTTTTCCAACTTCAATAGACATGGATGATCATGGATGGGTTTGGATTGGCCACCCATTCGACTCTGCATGTCTTACACGAGCTGCAGCCGACTCGATCCGCAGCAATAGCACGTCCCAGAACCGCTCATTGGGCCCGGCGGTGGCTCTTCGTCGGCTAAGAGGACGAAAGAGGCCAAAGCCTTCCGAGGCTGAAGGGATTCGAAGAAGGCTTTTTGGTGTCATGCAGGTCTCCGGGCTTCTTGGTTATAAGATGTTATAAGTACTCCCTGAGGATGGTTTTGCGGCCTCCTATGTCGCCTCTCGGATCGTCCTTTTTCGTGTGTGGTCGTTCTGTAACACTCCCAACCGGGCCGATTTCCGTGGATGGCCAACGGCCCCGATGACGCGAATGACCACTTTCCTCTAGAAACAACCGGTGAAACAGGCGGTGCCCTCCACTTCCAGGGAGTGTCTTCCACCTGAATACCCTCGAATGGCCTCGGGCTCCCCCCAGCTACGGACGCGGTTTGGATTCTTTACGACACCTGTTTGCTCGCAAACAGCACCGATCCACCCAATCACCCATGATAGCACAGAGCTATCAGGTTTAAAGCCATCAAGACTTTCTTTGCCCACACCAACAAATCCAACCGCTCAGTCCAGCACTTCGCTTGTCTTTGGGGAAGATGAGTTAACTCAATAAACACCTCACTGCACCACGTACCGACCCTGAAGCAGTTCAACAACCTCAGCAGTCCAATGAAGCCATAGCCATAGTTTAGGTTCTGCATTGCCAGCGTTTTGCAAGGCAAACTCAACAGGCTTGCTTTCTTTTTCGGACCATTCACCGCCAGTCCTTGATCGATCCGATTTTGGCTCACAAACCATCAAAGAACAAACAAATCCAGGCCATTGGAACCTTGGAGAAATCCACTTTGAGCAGCCCTGGACGTCGACTCTTCGCCATCGTGAAGACGTTGAAGCGGACGTGAAACGCCCGTTCAGGGTGGGTACATGTGTCGACCGGAAGGTCATAGTCTGGCTAGGTGGACCGGTTGATCCACTCAGCTACCCTCCCTCCATGGAAGTAAAACATGGTCGTAAAGGCCATGTTTCTCTATAGAGGTGCTTCTCCACTCCATCTCGGTGAGTCCGAGGGTAACCCTTAACCCTTAACCCTTCAACTGAAAACATCCCGCGAGATTCGAACATTCCCACCTAGCAAACTGCCGCATGTGCAGCCCACGGCAAATTCCAGCTGGGCCATGTTTGGACTGAAGATGATGGGTGCTCTGCTGGTCTCCGGAGGTGTCTTGGTTTGGGATGTGCTTGGCGGAAGGTCATGAGGATGTGGAGTGCGTGTGTCATTTCTTTGTTCGCACCGAACAATTAAAGTTCAATCTCAAATTAAATAGTCAAGTACAAGTAGGTGGGAATCATGGATGGGATCATTTCAGATGCAGTCCTGTCTGGGTGATGTTGGTGATCCTTTTGGAGAATAAATTTTACACAAATCCTGCACCACCCCCTCAAGCGTCTCTTGGGAATCCTCGTCTAGTGTGCTAAGAAGCCAGCGAGCTCCGTTCTTATGAAGAACAGGAGTTCCAATCCCTGAGGTTGACATTACTTGTCTTGTTTGGACGCCCATGTGCCTTGTTTGTGGCGTGATGTGGAGTGATACTTACACCTCAGCTTTTGCAATCATTTGTACGCCATTTTTATCGCAACTGTTAGCTTATCAGCATCGCAACCGTCTGTTCCTGTCAACTGACTGCAGGCCGAGCACTCGACCCAGTAGTGTCTGGAAATGGCGGCGAGAATGATGTCAGAACTACAGAACGTCGAGGTCTCGCGCATTTCGGTTGATCGAGAGAAATCCTGTAACACCAACGCGTTTAACACCAAGACACAGTAAAATTTCATATATAGATTTGTAAATTCATACAAATACCATGAAGACTGTTATGTTGTTTTCACATGTTTTCACCACCTCGCAGCTGGTGCAAAGCTTCTGACCTAATTACTGCAGTAGGTCAGAACCTGATTCCACTTCTTGCGTGGCCCAACATCTGGAAGACCTGACAGAATGAACTTCTTGGATTCTGAATTCTTTTCTCCAGCGACTCAAGGACTGACAGGATGAGTTGCTTCCTCCATTCCGGCCGGGGTGATTCTTCCTTCACCACCACTCTCAGCTTCGCCGGCCTTGCGCCACCACGAAGGAAAACCTCGCGGAACACTTCTGCGCCCGGAGCGTGCGTGCGTGCGTGGGTGTGTGTGTGTGTGTGCGTGCATGAGTGAGTGAGTGAGGGAGTGACAAACAGTCAGTCAGTCAGTCAGTCAGGCAGCCAGTCAGCCAGCCAGCCAGCCAGTCAGCCAGTCAGCGAGTGAGTGAAAATGCAACACTTGCCATCCCAAAAACATCCAAAAACCATTGGTAGGAGCCCCTTCACTGTGGGAGAAACCAGTACCAAGGACACCCCAAGAAAAACATGGGTTTGACCATTCCCAGTGGATCACAGTTGCCATATGCAAGGAACCAGGGTTTCTAGGTCTACGTATTAAGTCTTTGGAACCAGTGGTTATAGTTATACAATGTTATACAATTATACATATTATATATGCCCACTCGGGCCTTCGAAGTAGCGGTACACTTCTTGATTTGATGCGTGAGTGGCTGACCATGCTTCTGACAGGGGACCGACCGTTTGACCTACCGACGAGACGACCAGGAGACTCGCGACTCATTGGTGGACCAGGGCTCCAGCTTTTGACTCATCCCCACATACTATAGTGATTATAGTGGCAACATGATCGGGACTGAAACCTCTCTCCGCCATGTTCTCCCACCGTTCGCCCGGCGAAGGCCAAGGAAGGCCGCTGCGGCGCACGGCCTGGGGGCGGAGGATGACTCTTTAAGTTGTTATTTGTTATTACCATTGTTATCTTGACAGCCAAGAAAGCCTGGAGCCTCCACTGAAAGATGCCCCAAATGGACACCCACCAGGAGCATCCAGTCTGGGTGTCCTGGCTGGACTACCCTACACTACTTAGAGATATCCATTAGACACACAAACAGTATTCAGTATGGTCCAGGTAATATTATGATGCTTATTTGGCTCTATCACCAGTATCAGTGGATCAGTGTATGATGATGGTTAGTATAAAAGGCCTTTCTCTAAATAGTGATAATGTTATGTTTGGTAAATGTTTACCGACTTTTACAGGTAATGGGCCAAACCCAACTCATCAATATATTATATTATGTTATTATATATTGTATATTATGGTTTCTCTTGTGATTACGATGATGATGATGATGATGATGATGATGAGGTTTTTCCAAAAAGGATCCCTAAGGATCTGTTTGCCAAAGAACTCTTTTGAGGGGTGGTGGATGTGGTGGGAAGGTGTCACCTAGTCAGAAAGTTCACCATCTGAAAAATGGAGAAAGTACGAGAAAATGCACTTCTGCATGAACATGCGTGGATGATGTTTGAAACATGTTGAAACGAACCACCAGGTTATTTAGATAAACAACGATAAACATGTTGACAAGCTAAAATTGTAGGACATCCAAGGGCGGTCATGAACTCTGCATGGCGTCCGTGCTGACCCTGCCTGAGCAGCTAAAGGGCCCTGGCCCTTGTACTCATCAGGGGCCCTGACCTCTCCAGGCAGTTCTCGTTTCGAAATCGCTGGTCCCACGGGACCCTGGGAATCCAACAGAATGGATCCAACAGAATCTCTCTTGGATGGGTCGATCTGCAGGGCACCAACTCCCTGAAATCGGTGACGTGGAGGTTGTCCACCACCGGGGCATCCGGGTCGACCGAAATCAGGTCATCCAAGTCGAGTCGAGTCACGGGGCCGTTTTCCATCCACCTAAGTGCACTAACATCACCTAACGTAACCATGATCATTCCAAAGAGTGGAAGGACCCAAGCGGGTTCCAACAGCCTCCGTTTCATTTCGGTGAGGTGGGGAGACGAAGAGAAGATTCGAGTTGCTGACCTTCTTTCTATAACTACTGAAGCCTTGGGAGGTCTCTCAACACCGATATACTGGAACGCTTTGGGGATGATCTTGGGGAATTCTTCCCTTGAACAAATGATCCTGTTGATGGGGATCAACCGGGATAATTTATGATGAGTGCCATCCACTTGTGGCACCAGCCACGGCCGGGCACCTGGTCATCCGCCAGGTCATCTGAAGGCACCCCGTGAAAAAGGTGCTGGTGCTGAGAAGATGGAACTGCTCACAGTTCACTGGAGATCCGATTTCCTCACTGAATTCCTCACTTCTCACAACTTGGAGATTGAAGCCTTGAGTTCTTGACGTCGTCCCATCCAGAAATGTTGAAATGCCTGGACTCTCCATGACATCAATGTCCATACCAGGGTGTCGGCGTCCCACCCACAATCCCGTCGTGGGCCTCGTGATGGAAAATGAAGTCCTTCACCGTGAACCGGCCCTCGCGGATCCTGCGACACTCCCTGACTGGCCAATCTGACCCTGGTTGAGATCAACCTGTGAGATCATAGTGTGCTAAAATGTGTGGACTGTCCTCTTGTAACGACCGAAAAAGTGAATCCTTCAGAAACAACGGTCGCAACACATGCGTTGCTTGGTCCTTCAAAGTGACTTCTTTCAGAGTCCCAATAAAAGGTCAGTGCCTCCTACTACTATGTGTTCCAAAAAGTTTGAACGCACACTATCTACTTGGACAAACTTTAGAAACACATAGAGCAACCTGCATGGCTATCGGAATTCCCACAAAAACCGCCCTTCTACAGGTCGCGGACTCCTATCCACATGCCGCCGAATGAACTGCCTCAGCCGTTACGGGTCTTTGGAGCGCGCGTGTAGGGGTCTGTAGAACCAATGAAAATTTGTGAAAATGCATGAAAGACCGTACGGTCTGCAGCTCAAGACCTAGCAGAATCCTCCCAGCTAAAGGACTGCGTTGTTTCACTTACTGCGGCAACTTTGCATCGCGAACTGGGCTCAAAGTGGACGGACTCAGCTTGGATCTAAGACCCTAAGTGGTGAACATACACACACAACTCATCACAACTCCCTCTTGCTCGACCACAACCCCAACTAAGCGGAACTAAACATCAAACGCTTCATCTTGACAGCCAAGGAAGCCTGGAGCCTCCTGCTTGTGGAAGAAAAAGGACCACTTGCCCACCAACCGTGCATCACATGGAATCCTCCAAGCACAACACATAACACAACAGGCCCCTGTGGAGCACTGAAAGATGCCCCAAATGGACATCCACCAGGACCATCCAGTCTGGGTGTGGCTGGAGTACCCTACACTACTTAGAGATGTCCATTGGGCACCCAGACAGGATGGTCCGGCAGGAAGTCCAAGACGACTTTAAGACCGATGTCCAAGACATGTTCAAGGCCAAAGACAAATGTCTCTGCTGCCCAAGGCCATTTGGCCTCAGAAAGAACCCAATATGATGGAACGCGGGAACGCTTGAGGTTTGGGACTAGGGTATTGGACCGAACCAACATGCAGCAGTTTTGGGGTCTATGAGCCCCCCTGGGTGTGTCTCATAAGAACTGAACTTCTAGAAATCACACCACCTCACACCACCCCCGACACGGCGACCTGCTTTTTGTGCTTGTTCAGATCGGTGAGGGGCGAATCGCCCCACAGACAATTCGACCGGCCAGGCTCCGAAGGTCGTGTTCGATTCGCCCTCAGGCGCCACGCTTCAGCTGAGACAAGTTCCCCTTCGACTCGAAGAAGTTCTGCCAAGACACGTTTCTTCCACCGTCCGAGTTGGGCCCGAGTTGGGGTTCGCCAAAAGGGGCACCCAAACAAAAGGGGAGCCAAGAATCGTGCTGTGAGAGAAGTTGTATATAGACAGATATCTAGTGATACCGCATGGGTTTCTCTGGAGGGAAGTGCATCCTAAAAGATCCCAAAAGGCATCATGAATCAGGAAAAGGTGATATATCATGATATATCAACCTATATGATCCTATAGGTTTGTATTAGAATAGGGAACCCGCCCCACCCATAAGGATGCATTAAAAAGAAAAACAAAGCTCTCTCTCCCACGGGCAGCCCACCGATTCGGCCACGCCTCCAAAGCACCTCGCATCAGGTGCTGCGTGGCCGCACACTGATCTCTGCCTCGGAAACGGACCATTTCGGGTGTTGAGAAGGTGTGAAACAAACTGTGGTTCCCAGACGCGACGACCCTGGACCCTGGACCCCCGTTTTTCGACTTGGATGACCATGAGCTCACACCGAACACCTTGGAACAGGTGGTGTCATCCACGTGCCCAAAACGTGGATTTGAGGGAGTCTAAAGGAAAGAATGTGATGCCTGATTTCGATCATTTTCGTGTACAAGCCAAAGGTTTTCGGGTCCATGTTCATCTGCAGGAGGGTATTCCAAAGATTTCATTTGAAGGAAGCCTCCGCAATCTATTCTTCGGTGCTTGCCTTATGTTTATTTTGCGAGTCAACTGTTCCAACGCGTAGGTGGGCAACCCACACAGCCCTGTCCAGAACTTCTGGCTCAAATGCCAAAGACCTCTTTTGGCAAAGCCTTATGTACATCACCATGTGGGAATCGAGCCATCTTGAGGGGGAGTATATCCCAAAGAAAGGTTCACCGGTTCACCATCAAGTGGGCAATTTTTGGTCTGAGACTCTTTTCCAACGCCCTGTTCTCCTCCAAGTGACGAATGGTTTCAATGCCCTTGGCATCGAAGACGGGAGCCACCTGAGACATGCCGACGCTTTTCTTCCAAACAGGTCGGAATAGCTGCACCCAGTGGGTCAGGTCATAGCTGCACCCTGCAGATTCCTCTATAAGGGATGTCAACCTCCCATGGTTTGGTGGGGGAGATTTTGACTCACAGCCAGTTGACAACAGTTGCAGGAAAACATCCGCGAAGAGAATTTGGCAACATGTAACATGGCCATGAAAAACACATGTTGCCCATCCTGATCTTGTAGTTTGCTTCCCTGAGTTTGCCAATCAGGACCTCACTCACATGAACATGTCCCAAAACAGGTGGAGGTCGCAGCGGTCTGAATTCACCAAAACAGATTTGGTCAAAGAACACCTTCAAGAAATCCCCTTGAAGATGCGACGACCATGCAAGAAACCGTCGTGGTTAGGGAGGATTATCTGTTCTGGTATCATTGGCCGCGAGGTTCATTCCCAGTGCAGTTCCAGTTCCACAAAAAAGAAACGTTAACGTCATGCTATCTGGTCCGCGTTCACAAACCCGCTTTGTTTGTGGGCATGATGTCTGTTTCTGGAGTTGTTCCAAACAGTATTGACAGGACGATTCCCATGGTTCCCCCTGCGGTCCAGATGCATCGTCCAACTGTTGATCAACTTGCCCCTGCCCATATCAGCGGCTAAGCCCCAGTCAGTCGACCCAGTACGAATAAAAAACTGCGTCCACTCCTTAGCCTTAGACTGTGTCCACTCCTTAGACGTTTGCTCTTTTTAGAATCATGCTCTGTCCATCTCTGTCCTTGCCCAAAACTGAGAAACGAGAAAGTTACAACGACACAACACATGTCATGTCATGCAAAGCATACCTTTCAACCCCCACAGTCTTCCATCTTGCAATCAGAATCAAAGACAAAAGAAACATGCCTTCAATCACCTTCAAGTATACTCCTTTAAGATGTGAAAAAAATAAAGAAGGGAACAAGTTTACTCCTGGAAGAAGGGAACAAGTCATAAAGCAGGACACCCCGGACAACCCTTTTCCATATAAGTAAAATTAAATACATGCCATACGTTCTGACTAGTGCTGATGGAAGGAAACGCAAAGACCAAAGGAGTGGGGTGTAGGGAGGGTGTGGGTCCAAACCCTGGAAAGCTGATGAAATATATGATCCCTAGAAGTCGAACCACCATTGTTTTAATAGCCTTTACCGAACAACCATTGTTTCACTTTAAGGTTTTTACCAGATCAACCATTGTAAAATGGTCTTTGACTTCCAGGGTGATGAAACCTAATTGATCCTGGAGTCCAAACCAAGCGATTCCTTCCTGGTACCCCGGATCTCCGTCTGCGTCAAGAAGACCTGACGCAGACGTGCCCCCCCCTACTGGGCGCCCGAGCATCGTTCGGGGATGACCAGGCATGACCCACATAGCCTTGGGCCAGGTCTCTGAGACGCGACGAGGGGCCAAAATGCGGATCTCTCAGGCATCATACGCGAGGGGGCTCCGTCTGCCGCTTCGGACCGGGTTTTCTTCCTGTGCAACGAATTTCTGCCGGGCAAAATATGCGTGATGATTATAATTATAATCATTAATCTTTCTCAGCGTGGCATGACACGAACTGCAGCCCAGTACTGCGAGCTTCTTCGGGCCCCCTGGCGCTTCTTTGACACCAGGCAGCAGGGCCTTAGGGTGCGAGGTGAAATCAGCAGCAGCAGCAGCAGAAGCAGCAGCCCCCACAGTGCACAATGCTGCTGCGAAACATATCCCCTGCTCCGAACACGTGCTCCGCCCGAATCGCAGATTTAGGAAAAGCCGGAAAGCCTGTTCCTTTCAATAAAGAGAACGAAGCAACGAAACACACATCTGAACACACACACACACACACTAATATATATATATATACGCTATAGAGATTGGTGTATGACTTGAATACTCCCAGAAGCTCTCATTAAACTGCGATCAACATGAGACGCCTAAGACAAGAGCTTCAGACTCAAAAATCCGCGGTGTGGCCGGAATTTCTTCACGTCAAACAAGCTCACGATGAGGTCGAGTCGAGCGACTGCTGCTACGTAACCGGGTACGTGAAAGTCACTCAGGTACGTGACGCCGGCTTCCCAAAGGTGAGAATGGACAGGTCGCAAGCTGTTCCAAGGTGTCCTCAATGTCGGGTTTGGTTCGGGGTATGCTTTGTGCAGTGCGAAGTTTACAGTATGCATGTTTAGTATATGCTTCGGTATATGCTTCACCTAACTCGAACATCCCAGCCCTACATACCGTAATTAAGCTTAAGAAACAAACGAACCCGTGTCAGAAACAAAAAACAACACAAAAGGCTCCGACACCCCGGACTCGTCCAAGGTGCACACACTCACACAAACACCCCACGGATTTGGCCCAAGGCACCAATAGACCTTCTCCATCTGCAGCTCTACCGGCCGGGGGTTCTGCTTCGTCACCTGCGGCGAAATCACCGGCCCCCGCAGCTGGCGGCTGGCAAACACCGCGCGGCTGCCCTGCTGAAGCGCACGAAAGTGTTCCCTGTCTGAGGACAGCAAAATCAAGCCCTGTCTGAGGAGCTGTCTGGGGGAAGATATGACCATGACATCCTATCACTATGACCCTTTACCCCTAAAAGGAGCACCAGAAACTGATCCGCAAATCTGGTGCTCCTAGCAATCGAGGCAGGGACCTCGCCTCCTGAGCAATCTTGGCGCCCACCTGGAAAGCCTCCTCCTGGGCGGAGTCATGGAGGTGGTGGCCATACTTCGAAACACCGGTCAGAAGACGTGCTCATGAGCCATCAACATTCCTCGAACCCAGACATGACCCTGTTTTGATAGGGAAAAGACCATCTTTTGGGTGGTTGGTGGTTGAAAGAAACCCCAATGAGGATAAGACAAGTTGATTTCGTTTGGGAAGCGTGTAAGCTAGAATCTCGTGGGCTGGGGTATGTTCACCCGCCACTATGGTGCAAAGAGTTCACCAAATTTTTGAGCAGTCCGCAACCGTTTGTTCTGCAACATCTGGTCTTTTGAACGCTTTCCTTTCGAACATGGGGAAGATGGAGACCTACTTCGGCGATGTCCTGACCTACCTCCGTCGCGCTGCCGCTCCCTCCGGCGCGCACGTGAAAAAGTGATCGGCGGCACGAAGCGGTCTCGTTGGTCTCAAAACGAACTGCTCGAAGTTGTGAGTGACAGAACAACAACATGTGCCAAAAAAAGAGATGTATATACAATACCAAACACACACACACAACAGAAAGGCACCGATCAAGAAACCACTGTGGAATCCACTCCAGTTCAGCTACATAGTCAAATCAGGCACCCCACACACACACACACAAAACAGATTATTTTATTTCTGAATATTTCTGACATATATTCTGGCATTCTATCTGGCATATGTTGTGACATGTTTGCTGGCATTATGTCTATCAGGTTCAGGTGATGACTGGCATCTACAGTAGCATTCGTGCTTCAGGTCCGGTGGTGCCCACTGCACTTAGGAGCTTGCCAAGAAGGAAGGAAGGAAGGAAGGAAGGAAGGAAGAAAGGAGTCGTGCTATAATCTGACAACCCTCACCTGGCAAGTGGGGGGGCTTTCTCACAGATCTAAAAGAAATCACTGCGGAATCCACTCCAATTGAGCTACACAATAGTCAAACTAACCCAATTAACCTCAATTCCATCCCAACCGCCATAAGGCGCACAAAGGGAAACGTGCTCCCCCGATTCCAACCCTAAAAGTCTCCATCAACACCATCGAAGTCCTTCCAAACATGAACGAACCTTGAATGCCCAGGACCCGCCTTTGAATGCCCAGGTAGGCGGACGAACATGGAGTCGGTGTCCCCATAAAGGACCTGCGGACGCTGCGGAGTGTCTGTCACGCACCATCGCGTTGTTTTTTCGCGGTGAAAAGGCTTCGGTTTTACGCAATACAAGCACAACACAACACCTCAGGTTCAGCTGCAGGAATGGACCAAAGACCCACAACTTGAATCAATTGACATACAGAACATGAACAGAATAGACTACTTTGGAGGTCAACCTAGCAGGGTGAGTCTCGGGCTCCAGGTGCCATGACCTGCCATATGGCCTCCAGTTCGTCGGACCTGCCGATCCGTCGGAGAAGGTCTTCCGATCCGTCTCTGACAAGCCAAGCGGATTAGGCATGGAACGTGCTTTTTCTGCCAAGCATATACAGTAGATTCAGAGTTGTGGCTCGTGGACTTGTACACCTGAGCAACCACCCTTTGATGAGCAAAATGTCCAAATGAACATAAGGACATCTCACTCTTTGCACACAATCAATCAGCAACCATCACAATCTGCCCTTCGCCTGCTTGACCACTGCTTTGCAGAACGACCCCACCCAAATACACCCCTCTTCCTCTCAAACACCTGAGAATCGGAATCAGCTTCAATTTGTTGAAGATTGTTGAAGCATGTTGAAGCATTCTTTTCTACACAACCAGTCTAGGGTTTGGCACAACACTGTCTGAACACCAATATCACCAATATTGAAGGACCGAAGGCAGTGCTCCAGCCCGGGCCAGCCATGGCCAGCCCAATCTAGAGAATCTACAGTTTACCTCCAGAGAAGTAGAACGGGCAGAAGACACTTGTAATTATCATTATCATTCCTTAATTATCCTTAATTCTATTTATCCATGGACGTAGTAAAAAGCCTTCCAAAACATCATCCGCATTCTATGTCCAACCATTCTATTGAGGTCATTACCTCTGGCTGCCTCTCCCCCGCTGTCATGCAGACCCCGTCATGCCTCGGCGCGGGGGATGTGTTGCTCCACCCAACGGATGGCGCGCTCCAAGGTGCGCCTGGACGCGGCGTGTGGGGTCCGTTTCGCCCTGGCCTCCGACCAGGCACCTACTAGGAATGGCCTGCAAGCTCCTTGCGATGGCCTCCAACCTATTAGCGATCTGGTTGCTTGTGGATGGAAATACGGAGCACGGAGCATCTGAGAGGACGAAAACACCTCATCAGAGGAGGCGGTTCCTGGAACTTGTTGTGTGGAAACGTCGGCTGGGAACTCCCTTGGTCTATTCCTTCACTGCAGCAGTTTGAAGGCTTACCACCCTGAGAACACCATTCGTTCGCGTGGTTGTTGGGATAGGACTTAACTTGATACCCTGCATTCTCTCGATTCCGCACCCAGGTATGCTGGAAATGGTTGTGACCATGGTCAACGAGTCTATACATCTCATTCAACATGTACATCTCATTCAACATGTTAACTAGTTAAAACAACATCGCCTCACAACATCAACCCTTGTTTAAGATGGTCTGTTCCAAGCCGACAAGCGCACAAACGCGCGATATGCCACACAAGATGAAAGCGCGTCAACAAAACCATTCCGAGCATGATGGAAAAGAAAAAGCACACACACAAAAGCACACTGAGGGAAACACATTCCATAAGAATGTTGGAGCGTCCAACAGATTCCTACTTCATTCCCCAAAGCGTCGAGCTTTTCGATCCCCAAGTCGTCGCCTTTCTCGATCTCTGATCTCGCCTTTCTTTCTCCCCAAAGCGGTCTGGCCTGGCCGTCTGCACGATGGCATCCGCCAAGTCCACACAAGGCATCCGGCCACTGAAAGAGGCGCCGGTATAGCCGTAGGTCACCTCAGCGGTCAACCGCGGTCAACGGACGGTCAACCGTGCGGTCGGAGCGGAGGGAGGGCGAGACCCAGAGTAGCAAAGACTCCATGGGCGTAAATTCACCTAGATCAGGATGGTTGCAAATGGGTTTTACTATATGTTTCACTGGTCAATGTATATAGGTATATTGTAGGTCATTATATATATATATATACATTCCATACACGTACATGGAGTGTCTGGGTGAGACTGGGAGGTTCTGATGCGTATCGCCTGCACAAAGAAACTAGTCGAGGCTTTTGGAAAGGAGAACTCCACAACCTACTGAAGGATTCGCTGGAGGATGAACTATCAACCCAAGCCTTGGGGTATTACCTGTCCGTACCCAATTGCCGGCAGCATCACATCAACCGGAAGCAAATCAACATCTGAGCCCTATTGGAAACTGTTTCTATCTATTTTTGGCCATTATACATGGCCCATGTCCAAGTCACATTGGCAATCATCTTCAAGCCAAATTGTCTGGCATCCAGCAGTCGAGCGCGAGCCTCCAAAAAGTGCTGAACTCGTCTGCCCAGCCCAGCTGGGTGTTTGTCGTGACTTTGGTTGCTGGGTGAAAAAGAACTATATATACAAAAGAAGGTTCCGGGAATGGGCACTGGATACATACTGCATAGCACAACCTTGTGTGTGTGTGCTTTTTCCGATTGTTCAACTGCAAAACCATGGGCATTTGAATGAGTTGAGACATGCCGGCCCAGAAAAGAGGGGAGGAAGCAAGCACATATGTTTCATCTCGGTTTCGACCGAATTCTGCAAGATCCAAATGTTATCGCCCTGGGGGTGTGGAGTTTTGTTGTGGCCCTGGGGTCTAGCCGATGATCACACTCTGCCAGTGGCGAGATAGCCGTGCAACTTGAAAACAATTGCAGATGGCGGCCAATCAAACACCACCTTGCAAACACGTTATTCAAGAACATTCAACATCAGGACCTAGACCATATATATATATATATGCATATATATATATACTACTGTATATATATATACACATAACTATAGACATATAATATGCTGTATACATAAAATTAGATGTATATATATATATATATCGAACGTTTGACCGTCAAACAGTCTGTGAGTCCATGTTCACCTCCGCCATCCGCAAAAGGGCGTGGAACGTGCGCCGTCCGAGGTTCTCGGGTCCGCGGGCGTCCGCGCGGTCCGTCGCCGCGCGTCCGTCGTCCCACCTCGGCAGATGCTCCGGGCTTTTGGAGTTCCTTCAGTGCCTTCTTCACCATGATCCTGGTCCTGATCGTGTGACCACTCGTGGGACCCATAAGCATGACTGACAGTGGAGGATGAGGATGAGTAAAGGCCTTTACCGTTACCCAAAAGCTGTGAAACGCCCTGGAAGAGACCACGTGAAACCAGGAACCTCGTCTTTGACAGAATGTTACTGCTGTACTGGAACACAGCCTCATGAGACCTACCCATCCTTGAACCCTCCAGTTTTCTGCAGGGTTTTGACCCTACATCGCACAATTCCCAAAGCAAACCTTTACCGTCTTGTGGGTCGTGACGGATCCTGGGTGGCGGATCCTGGGTGGCACCTTAATCCCCCAAAGTCCAACGAAGACGCGTTCGATGGATCCGCGTTGTTTGGACACCTCCCCGGAACACCCTCGGAGGTGGAAAGCCACTGGTGAGACTTTCTCTCACATGTTTCTCGAAGTGCCACTGAACAACTCTTGTACATAGGCTGGATATGGCTGGATGAGGTGCCAACCAACACGGAGGTGGCCTCTCTGGCGCCATCCACGATCGTTCCTCCGAAAACGGTGGGGAAAACCAGCGAATCGAGCTGTGGCTGGGGAAAGCCCGTGCACGTGTGGCGCCTGGAGATCTGTGACCAGCAACCGCTGCAAACCAAAGGCGACTGGAGGAAAAACATCCTGCAACACCTGAAATGTATCTGAGAAACTGCAATTCTTCAATAGTAAATCCCACCCACTATGCCCAACCTGCTTCCATCAAGAGAACTTTGTGTTTTCCCGATTCTGAACGAAGAGTTTCCAGACGTGGCCCTCAGGGCCCCAGGCTGAAGGATCTCAAAGAGCATCCGCGGCAAAATCCCCGCTTTTTTGGATCTCTTCAGGAAAATTGCCTAGGCAAATGTTGTAGGACATGTGAAAAAGCGACAAACTCTCCAGTGAACTGAAAGATCGATGCATCTATGATAATTACTGTATATAATCATGTGTGCCTTCACATATTGCTGGGACATACTGGGACACAAAAAAAGTTAAAGAATCTCCAGTCGTACTCAACCTGTTTGATGATTCAATGCAGTCTTCTGCGACACATCCGGCCATCCCGGGGCCGGCCATCCGGCGCCTCGTTGGGCGTCACAAACAAGTCTTCTGCCCTGGCCGGTGCAAGTGGGTTCGGTTCGATGGACCCTGCCAACCAGGAAAAGCAAGCCAACCAAGGTGAGTTTCAGCGCCGTGGCGCAGGCCAAAACCATTCCGAACCAAGAAATACCTGCAGCCTATAACAGCAGCAAAGACTTTTGAGGGCGATGAACACGGAGAAGGGCAAATGAAATCTGGAACACTCCAGCGGACCGGCCGAGCCGCTCGTGCATTGCCTAACACCGACACCAGCTTCCGTAACATCGCAAGACTGTATGCTTTCGGGACTCAAGACCCATAGGTGGTGCCGGTTCGCCCGATTTCAACCGTCCTTCCGCGGGATGAAATCCACTCAGCCTGCAGTGCGGTTGCTGGTAGGCCTGCGCAGCTTTGAGAAGTTGCATCATGCAATCCTACTGCAGTCCTTAAGGCAAAGGCCTCCAATATTAAATTGGCCACAAATGCTGACTGTTGATTGATTGCGACTTGATTAGATTGATTACAGTATATAATTGCTCTACAGCAATTTCAAAAAAACAACCAACACAGATGCACTCACAGATGCGTTTAACCATTCTGCTTGGAGGGATGTCCTCAATCTCCTCAGTATGAGACTTATTCGGTGACTCAGTGATTCTATACCCATTGTTCCACCGTTGCCAGTGATCTGATCTGTATGGCAAATCTGCCCAGATACCCCCATGCATCGCAGAAACGTATTTAGATGCATTTACTTACTAAAACAATACTTGGTCTCCCAAGTAGTGCAAGTAGAAGATGCTAACAATAAATAATATATTAACTTAACTATGTCTTATGGTTCTTTACTACCTTGGCACTTTGCCAACCATTTCTGATCTATATAGATCTTTCCCACCCATAAGTTGTATGGAGCTCCAGGTTGAACCTGTCCTGTAAAAATCTGGAAACATGTACTACAGTATCTATCAACAGAAAAACTGCTCAATATGAAACCACTATGCCAGCGAGAATCAGTCCCACAGATCAAGCTGAAAAGGGCAAACTTATAATCGAGAACAAGCCACAAGGTTTGGGGTGTGTAGCTCAAATGGGGAGACCTCCCAAAAAAGAGCTTCTGGAGGAAGAACCATAGACCAAAACATAGTTGATCATATTTGGTTGGAAGGTCTCGTGAAATTACACACCCATTTCAACTCATGTTCAGTCAGTAACGGTCATCTTCATCCTCGTTTTCTCTGCCTCGAGTACCCCGAGCTTTGCGGTGGCACCCTTCAAATGCTCCTGCAGGCGACCCACCTGAGCTCGTGAGAAAAATGGTGCTCTGAGACAACATCAAAGAAGGCAATGATTCGCCAGAAACCGAAACGGAAGGATTGGCTGATTCGGATGCCAAGTTTGGGGGAATCACCCAGGTTTGGGGGAATCACCCAGATCGTAAAGAATCATCCGAAGGCAAAACCGCAACAACAACAAAAACCGATGGCTGGGATGGCCCCTGCACCTAGGGTGCAGGAACAAAAAACAGCCACTGCGGTGGCAAGTGGCATCAGGCAGTGTTTCACTCAACAAGCTTCAGAGTGGCCATTGGAACCTCAAGAAGCCTCTAGAAAACCAAGCAAGTCCAGTTGGTACAGTGGTTCAAAGGATGGCACTGGCACCCCCTACATGTCTTAGACAGATGGGGGTCCATGTCTACATTCAATTCCCTTTTTGATTTTGGGGATTGAGCCATCTACTCTGAAACCACTTGTTGTTTGCTTGGTTCTTGAACACTCCTTCTCACCATCTCCACCAATGTGCCGTGGGCACCTCCCAAGGGCACCTCGACTCTTCGTGGAGTGAAGCTTGGAAAAAACGCCCACCAGGGCCCAAGTGGGTGATGATGGTTAGGTACTAGTCACAAGTGCATCGCTACTAGCAGCTAGAAGCTACGAGTAACAAGGGCATTACTACTATAATAGTAGTTTCTTGCTACTAGTAGTAATTAATGTCCTTGTTACTAGCGATGCACCTGTTACCAGTTAGCTTACAGTTGTGGGCCTTTCCCAAAAATGGTGATTTGACTGATGCCACTGGGAAAGGCCTGCAACCTAACCAACTGGTATTGGCTGCACCCTACATGTACATAACGAGGTTTGACCCAGAATCATGGATCGACTCTTGCCGATGGATCGACTCTTACTGGGCAAATCTGGGCAACCACGCCAAATCTGCGTCATTTGGAGAGAACAACATGAGGGCATCCATTTCAGACGGAGATCATTGGAGGCATAGGATGTCGAAAAAAGAGGAAGACCCTGGGACATGCTGGGACACAGCAGAGCAGCCGATTCCGCCGACTCCATGGACGCACCCTCGGTGGCAGCGGTGAGGTTCGGTTCGGTACACCAAAAGCAACAGCTGAGGTCCTCACACAGGTGGAAAAGCACAAGTTGTAGGCAATGATGATGGAGGGATAAAGCCTAGGAGTCGGAGAGACATGAAAAGCGTACTGAATCAAACATCTGCTCCTTTAGTCGAGGACGATATGTAACTAGTCGACTCAATTTGAGATCCTATATCATATAACAATATGACTATATTCATAGATCCATTTGTGTTGCAACTTGTTAATTCTTCAGGGTGGCGGGCATATTTCGGAACGACTTCTTGTGATGTTTGTTCCCCCTTGACGATCTTTGGGAGTGATGTTTTGCTCAGGGGCCCCAACTCCCTAGGCCTTCCACCTGGCCGCTCAGATCATCGAGTCTTCGGACCTCACAGGCACCTCCGTAAGACGGCACCGACCCATGGTTTCGAACATTCTGAACAGATTCACCCCATATGGTTTCGAACCATGGTAAATGTATGTAATATAGTTGACTGCATGGTAAATCATCTGCAGTAAATGTATACCGTTTCCCATGGTAAGGTTTGGTTTATCTACTGCATGGTAAATCTTCCATCATATCATGGATCGTAGGGGATTAGGGTGACCATTGAAATACCTCGCTTCCCGACCTCGACCTCGGGTGGTGAATTTGATTCTTCCAGAGCAGACACCAGGTGAATGTGGATGTTGTTGCTGCGCATCATCGGGCCGGAGCCCGATGATTCCCCCGCCCGCGAGGAGGAGAAACGCGACGATGAGAAACGCGACGAGCCAAGGCGGGTCCAAGGCATTGACCAAAACACAGCTTGTTGTTTTTCCGAGATACTTGACCACCTCTGCAACATCACCCATGGTTGGATCGATGGAAAAGACTCAGATGACCCTGAAATCCCAAGAGCTAAAAAGGTTGGGCCATTACTCCACTCCACGTAACCTTGAGGACGTTTCAGGGATGGGTGCAATGGGGCCGTGGTGCAGCACCATCACAACCTGGGCGACCACATCCACATAAGGACCCGAAGCAATGCATCCACCAGAGACGACTCTAATAAAGCACAATTTGAAGCTGTGACATGTTCAGACTCGTCCGACTCGTCCTCTGTCTCGTTGCCCTGGATCTTCTCTCAGGGGTTCTGAAGCTTTAAGGACCGTCCAGGACCGTCGCTCCCCCGTGCTCCCGCGATCCGCCGATCCGCCTCCGCTCCGAGAAGGACCGCCTGGTCCGGTGGATCTGGGAGATCCAAACGATTGAAAGTCCAGGACCACCACCGGGTCGAAGTAGAAACCACTACGTGGCCTCGGAAGGTCGTGGGACGAGCTATGCTGTGAAAGGTTTGAGGTTTCATGACACACAACTGGTGTTTTTGGGGCCGCCAGTTAGGCCCCTTTACAGTAGGTGGTTTGCGGGTTCTTTGTTCGACGTCCCTGAAATAATCATATATGGTGTGCCAAATGAAACAAAAATAACATTCGTTTCAGGGATTTGCTACAGAGCTCCTACAATGAAGGATCCAATGGTCTTTCCTCTCCAAAAAGGAGACCAAAGTGTCCAAGACCGAGGCGTGCGACGTACGTCTTGGACACGTCAACGTAGCGTCCAAGCCGTGGGTCGATTCAAGCCCGAAACCAGAACCAAAGCTCTGGTCTGGCTCGTGTGACGTGTACAGCGAGGTTTCAGTGGTTCTCACCTGTCCCAAATATACGGAAAGGACATCTAAAGCCAAGAGTCCTCACCTGACAAACCCTTTGGCTGAACGGTTCACAAATGCCCCGGCTCTCAGTTGAGTTGATACAAACACTCTCCACTCCTTCTAGGAGAACTGCAGTTGTAGATCATTTGACAGCTTATGACGTACAACTTTCTGGTGCAGTGGTCGATCCCTCCGTTCGAACCTCTGAATTTCACAGTACCCTCTGACGAACGCATCACATGGTTCCATGGACAGTTCCCGTTTGTCGAGGAAAGTAGTCTTCCTTTTGGGGCCATGCCATCCACTTCCATGTGATGTGTTCGTCAGAGTGTAGAATAACTGGTTGGTGGAGACCATGCGGAGTGGTACAGTACTGGCTGGAGGTTCAGGATTCCGAGGATCCAGGATCTTCCATAGATGTGTCATGTTTCGCCGCAGGATCGGATGGGAAGCTGTGAGCTGACGAACTGAGGAACTGAGGCGAGCGACGGCTCGGAGGAAAGCTGCAGCACAAGCGAACGGCCATGTTCGAAGCTGTTCAAAGCTGGGAGTCCAGCTTAAACCACACATGGATTTAGTATTTCTATCATCAAATCCTCAACAAGACGATGGTTGACATGGCACTTTAGGGTTAGGATCCTCTGCACCTCTCTGCACATTTAATTCTTATATATTTACATATGGGTCGTTTTCCTTCATGCTGCAAACCCTGAGGCCAGAAACAACCCCGCGCGGCTCTTTATTGCAATCGAATCCGTCAATTCATCACATCTGCGATCCCGTGCTCGAGCGTCACGGAGGTGCCTCCTCCGCGCCGCGCCGTCGCTTGCTTCGGTAAATCGATTTCAGATGCATGTACATGCGGGAGCCGATGCCATCAGCACCGAACTTCTTCCGGAACCAGGGGCCAATCACCTTTTGGCAGGAATCCAAGAGGGAACGGTCCTTAGGGTAAAATGCGAAAACCCGGGGAGGTCCCAAAAAGGACGCGGCCATGTGGTTTGGTGACCACTTTTGAGTCCTGTCATATTCAAACAAACATTAACATAATTCATGAAAATACATAATGTTCATTGCCTTATATAGCCGTCATGGTCCCTACATCTCTTCTTCAGGGTTTGTGTCCCTGTGATTCCAAAGTGGAATGAAGCTCAAACAGTATACCAGAGAAAGACACGTAGCTTCCGCATCAGCATGCACTGAAGGGAACAACAAAACGATTTGAAAAGGCCAATAGATCTGGAGGTCTCCAAATGGACAGAAACCATGTGGAGCGCGCTTGCAGGGTCATGTAATTAGTGCGTTTGATGTCCCTGCTGCTCATCACCCCTGCTGCCCATGTATGCATGGGGTTCCTTCACATCAGTGTTCAAGTGTTACTGCCGTAGGTGGACGAACCATTCAAACCCTCACAGCCACACCCCCTACCCCCCCTAGTTCAATGTTGGCATGTTGGTGAAGGAGGTTGGCTTGAGCGGACGAATCAAATCAAACCCTGACAACAAACAATATATGTTCACTTATAACATTAAAATAGGTGTCGTGGGAGTGGTGATCTAGCATGTGGTTTTGGGGGTTGATTAATTTGTCCATCTACTGCTGTAGTAATCAATTCGTGTGGATGACCACCCTGCTGATTCCAAGGTTTCCACATGCGGGGTTTCGGCGTTTCGCCATGTTTCGCCGGTTTCGCCACCACCAAGGCTCTGCATAGAGCATCTGCATGGCTTTGGCTGCCTTGGAGACATCAGGCTCCGCCCAGCGTTGACCCGTTTGGTACGTCTCCAAGAAGGGCTCAGAGACATTCACCCAGGTGTAACGATAAGGAATTTGCAAGAATTGGAAGCCTGGGCCGATGTGCCAGCAGCCCGCGGTGACGATGAAATCTCCGGACGTTCGCGACACGTGCTATAGACGAGACGTTCACCATGTATAAGAACTGGATTCCACTGGCACCGTGGGGAAAACCGAGAAAAAAACGGATGGTCAAACATCTTCATGTTAGTCATCAACAGTTTACATCAGGTCATTATGGTGGTGTATTCGGATAGGTATATGTCAAGATATGTCAAATACAAATCAACAAAGCTATATATAGGGATGACCGAGCTGATGTGCATGTCATGTTACCAAGTGTTGCTCTCAGCTCTACCCAAGGACCTAGGTCTCAATTGACATGTTGTGCTCTCAGCTCTCATGTCTCTTCTTGGGATCGATTGTTATTGTTCCATTTCTTGTGGGATACATCCAGATTCTTTCAGTTGTTTCCGGCGTTCCTGCGCAGCGGTTCGGCGGTGAGAACGGGCCCTCAGTGTTATACCATCAAAGTTATTTTCTTGCGCGGGCCTCCGCAAGTGTCCGACCAATCTCTAGTCCAGTCCGCCGTCCTGCAGGCGCAACCTGAACGTTGTGCATGGCATGCCATTGCCATATCTTCGTTCGTCGATCTTCCAAAGTTCCAAGGTAAATCCAAGCAGCTTCCATGATGCAAATCTGTGATTGCACATATGAAGAGTCACGCGAAGATTAGATCATACTTCCAAAGATTGTGAGGGGAAAACTCCTGTCTCATGTCGGTCTACTCTCCTATCCCAGCAGGGATACTTCCTGCTCTATCCAGAAGACCTGCTAATGCTCCAAATGCTCAGGGATGCATACAAACAGAGAGTTGGTGGCCAAGTCTAAACAAATTGAGTTGATCCGCAAATAGAATCACTGCGTTGCAGCTTGTGAAACGATCTTTCTTGTGGGATTGTCCACGGAAACTGAGCACCAACAACTGTCTTTTCAAACTGAAGCAAAGTCAGATTGTCATCGAACATGTTTTCATGAACTGAGCAGCTTTCGGGAAGCTTGGCCATGAAGTCCATGTTTCCGCTATATGCAGTCGCGATAACTGGCTTGCCAAGCATCAACATCTGCCTGACAGTGAACATCGACGGAACTATATAGGCCAAAGTGAACAGGGGGCTGCCTAAAGCCCAACGCTTGTTGCTCTGACCTGTGTCAGTACGTTCTCACGCGGACCCCTACGACCAGGTATAGGCAGCCTTCGATTCCAACGACCAGGTGGGGTCTCGGCCTCCAGTCGTACCGTTTGGGCTCCAGTCGTACACTCGGAACTCGCTGCGAGCCGATTGGGGTGTAAGACCCACCGGGAGGTTTCGTTCGGTTACGACCGACCGGGTGAGCGACCGGTGGTTTTGAAGATGCCGGTGGTTCTGGAGTCGGATGAAGTGGGAACTATCATGAATGGGAGCCAATTTGTTGCTCAAATGGTCATGTCATGTAATGTCTAATGGAAAGCTAATTTGTTGCTGAATCTGTATCTTGTTCTTCGTGATTTGTTGCTCGAATGGAAGCAAATCAGTTTTGACCGGTCCATGTGGGGCAAAAGTCCGTCCCATCCTGTGGCAAATTGCCAAGGGGCAGGAAAGATTGTCAGGTGCTATACCTAGAATCTGAGTGACCTCTGTTTTGGATCAACCACCCAAAATACAGCCTTTTCCTGTCAAAGCAAAGACCAAATGGGCTGAGCATGAAAACGAATCATGTGATATCAAGTGATATCAATGTCCTTTTGACGCCGCTGGCAACGTGCGTACTCCCACTGACCATGTTCTCAGGTTTGCGCAACACTTTTCTCACCCACGGGTATACAGAGCTGTGCATGAATCAACCCCACAATGTTGACTTACCCGACTCCTAACAGCCCAACCTTCTTACCCTTTCAACGGCAATCAAGGGCCCCCAAATTGTTGACTGTAAGTTGAGAGTAGCTTCAGCCCTAATCAAGAGTCCAGGCTGCAGTAGGAGCAGGCCATAACCCTCTGAGCGGTGCAAGGACACAAAGACATCCACAGATGCCATCAACGTGCCAAGCTCCTGTTGCGAGAGCACCTCTGTCATGATCCGAACACGTCCTCAGCTCACTTCGCCCCGCTACTGCCACAAATCCATTGAACAAATCTACGCGCGTAGACATGCTAGCATGTCGAGGCGGGGACATGTAGCGGCATTCTGCGGCATGTATATTTGTTCCCATGCGCCAAACAGAACCCCTTTGTCGGCCCCGACCGTCACATCTTTGGTTGTTTCTGGCAAATCTTACTCAGGGTTGTTTCAAGTGTTTGCACAACACAGCATGGCGATGTTCTGGATGGTTTGTGGGGCCACAGCATGGGCCCCCAATGGATTCACATGCAAATTCGACAGCGCTCCCAATTCCATGCCAGACCTCTTCCATGCTGAGAGAGTGGTGTCCTTCCTTCGATGGAGTCCTCTTCCGATGTGGTTCGATCAAGTACATGCCAACTACCATAAATGTGCTCAGAGATGTCGATTGTGCTTCTAAAGGCTATAGGCTATAAACTAAGGCTATAATAGGCTATGTGCCAATCCAATGGCTTTGCGTATCCGGCTTTTGAACACTGGACCTCGATCATTCAACGCATAGACGACCCACAAGGAATTAAGGCACAAAGTACACAGCTCGTGAGATCATAAGCTGAAAGCGAGAAGAGTCTGTTTATATCTTTTTCAGTTCCTTGACGAGCTCGTGGCATCCAGAAATCCGAAACGCCCATCTTTGTTAATCCAAGGTGCTGCTTTTTCTTACCTCCATCTTCAATTGGTTGAATTCTTGCTGGAAAGAAAAGTGTTCCAAGGGCAACACGCACTTGATCACGAGGAGCACATTCGATTTGGACTTCTGAAATGCACGTCGGAAGGCTGCCAATGCAGACAAGGGGTTCTTGCGGTGGTAGCTGCTCAAGAAGTCAAACATCACCAAAAAGACCATGGTGCCCTTCCGAAAGTTGAAGCGGGTCCGGTTTGCTTTGTACATAGTTACATTGAGAGTGAGCCCCATCGGCATGGTCATCACGGGCGTTTCAACATACCCGGCATAGCCCGGGGATGAGAGGATGGACATCGTCACAAAGTCCGACACCGTCCAAATCTCACTAAAGACCTCCATGTAGCCCAACCATTTCGATGGAAACTGATCCAATTCCCAGGACCAGTATGCGATGTTGTAGTGGCGTTTCCATTCCGCCGTGGGATATCGATTGACGATGTCCGCGGTATGCACCGCATTGGCCACAAAGAGGTTGAAGTAGAAGGTGGGGATTCGAGTCGCTTTCACCAACGAGGTGTTCTGGTTGTGCTTCACCCCACTTGGCAACAAGATCGCTGTGGTGCGCATCCCTGAAGCCTGTAAGACGTCGATCGACAAGCGTCCAAACTCACAGGCTCCACAAAAGTCATGAAGCCAGCCATAGACGTTCCTAGAGGAGCCAAAACTATAGACAAACGCCCTGAACAAATCATGGGTATACTAAGATATACTAAGTATATAGAGCTCTTTGATTTGCTTCATGTCGCATTTACTTTGGAGGGGCATTGTATGTCTATCTATTTGGTGGGAATGTGGGCACCACTCACAATGAACCAAACAAAATCTAAAATCTGGGAGTCTGGGATCTCCATCCATATGATTTAAACCATGTTAAACCATGGCCCCATGGTTGGGGCATGTTGGGACTGACAAAAAGGGCCCACGTATTGACCAATCCGAGATTCACGCCAAAGGGCAAGCGCATGTTCGGGTTAGGCATGGTCTTATGTTCTCGCCAAACCCGTTCGAAGTGATTCCGAATGGAGTCGGCACCATGTTCTCGCATGCCATTCCCACCAAACCAGTTCTGGACACCTTCAGCATGATGGACTCGACCAAAGGGATCTGGGTACACACCCATGACATCCGGCCTTCATGGATTTGCTCAAAGAGCCCGGAGAAAGATTATATTATATAACTATTCGACTGACTATTCCCCCGTCTTCGGGGCTTCACCCAGGAACCGGGGAAAATCATAGAGATATCCTATAGACATAACGCGTCTGACATCCGGCCTTGTCTGGTAAGCTTCCCAAGCGATTTCAGGGATCCATTCCGGACCCCGAGGCTCTACGATCAAGTGGTGAGCCCCTTCCAACATCCACGAGAGCACGGAGATCTTGGGTGCGGGGGCAACAATCCGAAAGGGATCCTTAATTGTGCCGTCTTCCGGAACCTGGAAAAACCAAGAAATCGAGATATGTTCACCCTGGAACCGGGCATTCATCCTGGAACCGCGAGAACATCTGGGGCAATCAACCATCACCCGAAATAGAAAATCATCCCCTAATCACTAAGAAGATTCACCCTGATTCACAGGGAAAATATCAAAATCACCCGATGTTCTGCAAATGCCTAAGATCCTCAAAGGCAACGGTGTCCTGAAACAACCGCGCGTCGCTCCGATGGGAATGACCCGGATCCATCATGCGTGCATAAACGCGACGGGCCGCATCGGGAACACGACTGCCATCTTTGAAATTGGTGAAACCATAAGGCACGTGCCGCCAGTGCATGGTGTTTTCGCTCTTGAGCAACGCCAGGTACTTTTGGAAAATGGGGCGCAACTTGGGAAAGTTGTTCATCTTATACCGATTCTGGTGTTGGGAGATGCCTTCAATATCATAATTCAGCAAATCGGACATGCCGGAGAAATGCATAAAAACCACTGGTTCTGAATCGTACATCACAATGTCGTCCACCATGTGCAGGTGTTTTCCGCGATAATGCAAGTTCCAGTATGCAATGTTGTAGCGTGGATCTCGCAAAATCAGGTACTGATCTTGCGCGAAATAGGAAGGAATGAAATTGCCTCCCGCGGAGCTTTCGTGAACATCTCGCACACGTCGAGAACCGCCCAAAACATTCCCAAACAGGCAACACCCTTGACATTTGACCTCTGTCCGGAACAGGCGATTGTCACTGCCTAGCCAACTGGAGAATCGCCTAGGAAGACCTATAGTAAACAGCCTTTTCATACGTGTGAACAGCAGCAGTCCTACTTATCCATCAACCCCCCGAGTGCGGCTCGATATTCGACACCTGCTTTAGACCAGTTCATCACCCAAGAAGCTGGGGGACACTTCCATGGCAAACCAACAAAAGCCACGCCAAGTGACCCCAATTCTGGTCGAAGTGCATCCCCTCGCTGGGACTGGCAAAGCCATAATACCGCAGACGCTCGATCCACAAGGTAAGCCACTCAGAGCTGACCGCGCTTTTGGCCAGGGCGATAAAGCCTACCGGGTGGGACTGACGTGAGTTAGCGATGGAGTGCACCCCGTGGCGCACAAAACAACTCCGCCCCATCGGCGTGAGGAATTGGCTTCCACCTCTTTGGGCAGAGCCCTAGCCGCCGAGACGTTGATATCTGTGAAAAACCCTCCGATATACTCTCCCTGGAACCAACATGGTTACGTGGATGGCACCACCTGTTTGTAGTGGGTTTCATGGTCTTCCAAGGGGCCATTCTCCACTTCTATGTTAGTTCCAGGGAGTCTACCCAAATATACCTAAATCAAATCCACATATGCCGATTGTCAGTTCACACATCGTTTGGTCAACGACTGTTATCCATGGTTACGACCGTTCCCAAGACCGAACAGGCCGGTCACGACTGACTCCGGCCACTGGCATGCGGTCCTGGTTGATGATGTTTGAGGCCACTGCGGCCGGCACCGTTAACGGTATCCTTTTCTATAAAATCCCAACAAGACCAACAACGAAGACCCTGGCCCCAGCTGACCTGCTGATGTTGGTTCTCCCCACCCGTGCCGAGCGACCGAGGGTCAGACGATATGTTTGGCATGATCTCATGATGAAGATTGGAATGCCATGCAGGTTGGGGGGCAGAACCCAACTGATAAAATGGCCCTGTATTGGAGATGGATTGGAGACCTCCCAGGCGTTCCGATCCCCTGAAGAAGGAACATCAAGGACAACAGTCATCCCCTTGGGCCAGGGCTGCAACATACGGCAACATACACCACCAGCAATCGATCCGGGAAACCAAAGTTGAACTGGCCAGCGAGCATGATGGCCCGTTCGTCCTGAGTTCGACCATCCACTGGGAATGGTTCGGTGGCATGTGGTGTGACCACCATGTTATAACGATCCAACGCGTCAATGATGGTGGTCAAGGGCTGCAGGATCCAAATGTCGTTGTCAAAGTACAAGACTTTCTGCGCAGCGAAGCGATCAAAGATGAACCTCGAGGGCCCGAGAGACGATTGATGGAGTCTTCCCTAAGAATCCGGGCCCCGGTTCGCAACACCTTTAGTTCGGGTTTGGGAACCGGGTCCGGAACCCCGGGTCGGTGTCGGTGGAGAAGGTCCGACCCCTGCCCATGGAGGGCCCGTAGGGATTCTTAGGGTTCTACGATTCGAATCAGAAAAAGGGCCACCCAAAGATGTCATGTACTCAAAAGGAAGGGCAGCGTTGGTTCTCAAAAGCATCAATCTGGCCAGTACTGGCCAGCTCTGGCCATGTGAGTGATAGCTCTGACACCCAAGGAATTGGCTTCGCTGGAGAAACGTGAGCGCAAATGGCACGCTCACCCATTCACCCTTTAATCAAATGGTTCACGAGGCTCATTGGGATCTAATCCATCTGCCTGCGGGGAAAATAGACAATCCCGGTCGCGTCGGCCGCGTATTTCTCCGGGTCAACATCGGCATTCACCATCTAAGAAGCTTGAAGGCCGCCGGCTTGATGGCCGTACTAAAACACTGCAAGTTGTAGCGGAAGGCCAGCTCGGTGACACTGAAATTCCTTCGGACGATCCGCTTGTGACCGGGCCGTTCGTCCCCCGGGTATACGCACGAGATCGAAGACGCCACATCCCGGTCAGAGCGATGTGGGCCGCACGGCCTGGTATCCCTTGTTTCGACAAAAGCCACAAACATGGAGAAAGGATGAGAAAGGATGATTGGATGAACGTTGGTGCATCTTCGTGGTCCAGAGGTTTACTCCGGCTCAGCGTTGTACTTGCCGTAATTCATCCCCTTTCATCCCAGTTCTTCCCCTTGGTCAACGATGGATTTCAACGATGGATTCATCCATGGCTCAAGTAGGGTTGCAGCTTCTCCGCCATGACACTGTACCACCGGTCTGGAAGATCATCCAAGATCTGTTCGGGAAGAAGCGGATCGCCATGCCGCGACCACACGCGACGGTTGTCCGCCACCACCCAGATGAAACAACCTGGCGGACAAACGTGAGGCTCCAAACCACGGAGATATTTGCATGTGTGTGTGTGTCTTTTTTGTTTAAGGGGACCGAGCTGATGCTGATCAATCGTGGAAATATCGACCTATCGGAACTATCGATGTCGAAATCCCGGTGTGGGCGAACTGGGGCTGACTTGGAGGATCACAGAGCATGGGAAGTTCATACAGGAATCCACTTTCAGGAGAAGCGGACAGGGTCATGAAAGGGCTGGAAAACAATCTATGTCCAAATCTTTGCACATGTTCAACTCTTCACTTTTTCAGGCTCGTTTCGCAGAAATTGAGTACAAGTACAAGCCCGTTGATCCAATGACCCGTGAGGTTCAGTTGATCGACGTTCGAGGAAGGTCTGGAGTCCAACGTGGATTCATGGCATGAGAAGGTCTATACCCAGACTCAGACGTCGGGTTGGACCAACGTGCCATCCCTCAACGTAGGTGTGTTTGGTCGTGTGTGTGTGTGTGTGTGGCGCAAGAGCTCCATTCTCTCCCATGACGGTAGATTCATCTCGCATCATCTAGCCATATTCGTCCTATTAGCTCAGCTGCACTAAGATGCCCCTTGTTCTGCTGTGGCTTTGCTTCGTGCGTCCATGTCCAAACCTTCCCACCATCACCTATCCCTCTCTCACACTCTTTCCAAGAAGCCAATCTCAGGATGTAGTGCCTCTACGCGACCCAAGAAAGACTTCACAAAGCCATAGTTGTTGAAGGCCGAGATGGTGAACCTCATGATCGTCCACCGCCCCTCCGAATGGCAGGGCCGGTGGTTGGGGAAAAACCATCAACCACCGGCGCGGGCGTCGCTCGCGCCAGGCGCGTGGCCGGTGTCGGTCGAAATGGATTCACAAATCCGACCGAAGATGGACACCAATCCGGGGGCTTCTGTGATTTTGGGATCCACCCGATGCGGTCGGAAGAACTGTGGCATTCGACTCCGTGAGATTCCTCACATCTCCCAGTAATCCATTCAATGGCGTGTTGACTAATTTGGATTTGCTGTTCAGGAACGGGTATATAAGATTTATAAGCTAGAAACATATTCTCAGGTCAGGAAAAAAGAACATATACCGTCACAAAAGGGTACTTGTGAGTCCCTAAGCGAGTGGATAATGGGCACCCCTATCCTCCATTAGGCACTCGTTTATGACTCCTGGTATAAACAATATATAACAATGTCATATTATAAACAATTATATAACATAAACCTTTTTGCAAAAGCAGGCTACTGTTCATACCAGGACCCTCCAAGGGGTGCCCAATGGAAGCCTATAGGTAGTGTGGGGTAGTTCATTGGACACCCCGACAGGAGGGTCCTGGTATGATATATGTTCATAGAAGTTAGGCTATGTTAGGCTCTGTTCTTTCCTGCCTGCCCCTCCGTTTCTTGAACCTGATGGTTAAACCTCCGTCCTTACAACGATGTGTCTGGGAAAGAACCCAGACACAGCGCTTTGGAAGGTATCTGAACACCATTAGCAACTTTAAGTTCCTACAGTCTAGACGTGGCGTTTTTTGCCATTGCCTTAACCACAGAACTTTGGAGTTTGGAGCCCAAAGTGCACAGAAAGGATTCCTATATCGCAGTAAACAAAGAGAAACGAGCTTCGACTGATCAGGCCTCCGGCCCTCTCCAGTCGCGTGTCATAAAACCCTGCTCCATTTCGCCAGGTCGCAAACAGGTCTTCTTGCGCTTCGCCCCTGTCTTACTGCTGAAGTCTCCACGGCCATCGCTCAAAGAATTCACTGCTTCGCAGGCCAAAAACTTCCCTACTTGCCAGGCGATTAGCCAGAGGGCCGTGAAAAGAAGGACGCCAAGCACAAGCCATGGCTTACATGGCAGGCCCATGACCGTTTCTTCGCGCAGAGTGGTGAAACGACGTGAAGAAGGTGTGTGGTGCTTGTGGTGCGATGGGAAAATCGGTCACCCCGTGGGGCATATTACAATGTTGACGTAGATGTTGCATGCTGAAGAGATCAGATATGATCAGATCGAGTGGCAGTGACCCCGAAGCCAAGGGGCAAGGGTTGGTTCGGTGGAGTACTTGTTCACTTGAGGTCTGGTTGGTTCGGACATACATCTGGACACTGGAAGAGACACCGAGAGGTGATCTGAGAGGCATGACACTCTGACACTGAGAGGTTGCCAGTATCTGAGAGGTTATGTTCCCATCATTTCCAGACACTCCATGTATGGCATATTTACCTCCATTCAAATGGTTTGGGGTCAATTGATCGGCAAGTCCCATGGCAGTCCCATGGGTCGTGTCTGGGATTTGGAAAGACACCGAGATACCTCGTTTTCCAGCACAACACCGTTGCGTTCGCTGGGGGAGTCCCCTGAGCCGAGAGAGGCGACAGGAAGGGCGACAGGGATGACGCCTACGCTATCAAGTGGCAACACGGCAAGATCCCAGCACTTCAATGAATGGGTTGAAGGGAAACATCTACAGGAAAGCAATAGTTTTGGAGATGAAAACCAGGGTTTCCTGCAGATGTTCCCTTAAACAAATTACCACCCATTCATTGAAGCACGTAAACCCATCACGTACTATATTAAATCTAGAATCCTCGTGAAGGCTGGAGGGCAGGAAGCCTGGCAAATCTTTATAAAGTGAAGCTCCACATGCCCAGCCCACATGCGCAATGCATCCTGAAAACAACACGATAGATACAAAAAAGGGATTGCCTAAATGATTCAGCTGTTCCTTTCTCCAGCATCCTGGAACCATGGAACGAAGCCAATACGAGTTCCACGAAGCAACGGCCGGTGCTTGGTGCGTCCGTCGGCGGGCCGGTCAGCGGCAGGACCACTCTGCCGTAAGCCGTGAGCTGTTTGGACACCGAAAGAGACGTTGGACCGACCAGGCCTAGCCAGAAAGGAGTATGTAGAGATCCCAACCATCAAGATGAGCAGCCTTACATCATCCAAGATCTTTTTCGCTCAAGGCACCTCCAAAAAGAGGGCCATGAAAACTCTCGCCCATCTGCACCAACCCCCACTCCTATCGCCCCACACCGCCGCCATCGCTCTAGGGTCTGGGACTCCATGACCAAAGGGATGCACTCAGCGCCACGTTGGCTGGCAACCTCTGGCACCCGTGGAATCCATTCGATGCAAGTCCCCAAATTCTTCCGGAGTCCAAATGGAGCTGGGGAACACTCCAGGATTTCGCACTGAGAGCTGCAAAAGCTTGCTGAGCTTCGAAATCACGACCAAAGAACCCTGGGTTCTCCGTCTATCATTCTTGCTCATTTAAATCATTTAGTTCTAGAGTGATCTCAGGATTCTCTTGATCCATGGCCATCTTCACATAATATCAAGTCGTTGGGTGCATGTGGATTGATGCACCACCACATGTCCTCAATCAAACCCATCAAATCCAAGTGCCCCTGCCTGTTTCGAATTAAGTTTCCCAAGTTCCCCTGGAGTCTCCAAAGTATGGTGTTTTCATGTGTTTTCCATGTTCGTCCTCTATTTTTTTAATGTGCACCTTTCCGATTTTGATTTTGCCTCCGAAACATCACCGACATCCAGCCAACGTCCCAAGCTTCAAAGGAGCCAGTCCTTGACCACCATGGGGAAAACAATGGAAAACAAAAATGGAGAAATACATTTATATGAAAAAAAACACATGAAAGCCACCTCACTGTTAGTTGATGTTTTCATTTCTATTTGGAGTTTTCATTCCTGTTTGTATTGGGGTGATGGAGTGAGGGATTGGATGGTGAAAGGGTTAACTAGTAACTAATTGTATCTTTATGTTTGGAAACACTGAACCCAGTACACTACCCCATATCTTTGTCTTGGGGTGGTGGTGTGAGGGATTGGATGGTGAAAAGGTTAAACAGTCACTAGTTGTTGAACCCACTACACTACACTTATCCCATATTTTGTATTGGGGTGAGGGGTGGGGGACTGGAAAGTGAAAAGGTTAGATAGTCACTAGTTGTCTTTATGTTTGAGGGACACCTCCTGAACCCAGTACACTACACTGATCACATATATGTGTATTGGTGTGAAGGAGTTGAGGGATTGGATGGGGAACAGGTTGAGTGGGTTTGTGTAAAAGGTTTTGTTCCCTGCAGCTGCCCTTTCAGAGCTTTCTCCAGAGACTTCTACAGCATCAGCATCATGGAACTTGGAATGGGTGATGCGTTGATGGGATGGGTGGATGGGTGGTGGGATGAGTTCAGGCATGCCACCTAGAAGATCACAATGTGGTTGCATTTCTTATCTTTGGGCATCAACCCATGAACATGCAACACCACACTGATCCCATATGACTGTATTGGGGTGATGTGGTGAGGGATTGGAAGGGGAAAGGTTAAGTGGTCCCTAGTTTTATCTTCATGTTTGAGGGGCATGCCCTGAACCCACTACACTGATCCCAGCTGTTTGTATTGGGGTGATGGGGTGAGGGATTGGATGGTGCAAGGGTTAACTAGTCACTAGTTTGAGGGTCACACCCTGAACCCACCACACTGATCCCAGATGTTTGTATTGGGGTGATCGAGTGAGGGAGTGGATGGTGAAAGGTTCAACTAGTCACTAGTTTTTAGTTTGAGGGGCACACCCTGAACCCACTACACTACACTGAACACATATTTGTATTGGGGTGATGGGGAAAAGGCTTACAAACCCCAATTGCCAAATGCCCAATTGCCCTTTCACCTTCAGAGCTTCCCCCAGCGACTTCAGCAGCACCAGTGTCATGGAGCTTATGGGGCAGGGGGGGTGGGATGGGGCAGGGGGGGGGTGTGATGTGGATTTTTTCTGTTTAATTAGGACCTCTTGCAAAAGAGGAATGCGCCGAAAGGTGCTAGATGCAGGTCATCATCATTAAGATTTAGAGTAGCCTAACTTAATAAACATAGAGCCTCTTGAAAAAGAGGAATGCGCTGCAAAGTGCACACTAGAGTCACTAGAGTCTAGTTTCCAGCTTTGGCACACTGAACACTAGGATTTGGTTATTATCCACCCTAGCCTGGCACAAAGATATGGGTTGATGGTGTTTCAATTAGAACCTGGGTACCGCAATACACTTTTCTTCCCTTTTTTCTATGCTATAAGGACATATAAAGTATATTGAAAACAAATTATGCACGATCTATCGTGATCTGTCACTTCTGCTTTTTGACCTTTTCGGGAAATGATGGGAAATAACAGGGCTAAGAATGGCTCCGACCAAGCATTTGGAACAGTTTGGCTTTGGGGGGGGTCGTTTCTGTGTTCACCTTTACACATCATTCTACACCTTTCCAGGGTTCGCGTGTGAAACCCAGGGTTAACTTTGTGGCAGGTGAGGATGATTGACCAATGTTGTATTGTTTTCCACCAGCCAGGCATGACCTGGGACTGAGATAATGCCTTTGGCAGCAAGTTGTTGGCCTTCCATTTGTTGTGATGAACCAATTGCACATTGTTTTTCTACACTGAATCCTGGCATGAATTGGCATGAAGGTATGGTTTGAAGGCCAAATCAAAGTTTGCCTTCCACTAGGTTTAAGGACAAATGCACACTGCTGTGCTACTGAGTTCGTCCTGGGGTGAACTTGCATGAAGGTATGACTTGGTGGCCCCAAGTCAAAGTTTGCCCATCTATCTGGTGAGTTCCAGGAGTAATGCATAACTGTCAGAGTTGTGACAGTGTCAGTGTGTGAGAATCAATGCGTTTTCTTTAATTGTCTTTGGGCCCACCAGCTTTTGGAATTCCAGAAGCTGGACTAACTCTAATTTTCTGTTGCCCACCAGCTTCTGGAATTCCAGAAGCTGGACTAACTCTTGGAAATCCAGGAGTTATGCCCAACCTTGCTATTCTGCAGTGTTGGGTTCTGGTGTGAGACTATGGGATGTCTGAACTAAGCAAAACAAACTGTGTTGGTGCACATCCTTTCCTTTCACACTTCTGTTGCATTGCAGGCTGTGTGTGAGTCTTGAGTCATGTCTTCTGTTGCCATCTTTGAGTGATGACTTCTACTTGTTTGGAGGTTGGGGTGCACACTCAGCAAATGATCCTGCTTTTCCTCAGTCTGGCAGTCAATCTTGTGATGACTTTTGTTTATCCCTGTTGTTCACTGTGCATATATTTTTGTCATGTGCTTGCAGTGGATCCTGTACTTTGTGACTGTCCAATGGCTTGAGGCTGGATGCATGCTGCATGCGGTGCAGTGTGGAGGACGTTGGACCCTGAGCTATTTGGTTTAATTTGAAGCTGACATGTATTGCACCACCATGTGGCTGTTCTTGCTTGATGGCTATAGGCATGTTTTCACAGGCTGGAATATCTTTAAGCACCATTGTAGGCAGCTCAAAAACAAACAGTGTCTCTGAATGAACTAAGCAGAACAAATTTTCTTGGCGCACGTCCTTTCACAATTCTATTGCATTGCAGGTTGTGTGTGAGTCTTGAGTCATGTCTTCTGCTGCCTTCTTTGAGTGATGACTTTACTACTTGTTTGCAGGTTGGGGCGTGTGTGCAGCAGATGATCCTGGACACAGTCAGTTCCTCAATGCTCCTATTTCAGTGTCTGCTTTTTGATTGCTAAGCTCACAGTTGCCATATGTGCAACCGCAGCCCCACAGTTCAGATGGGCACTCATGATCACAGTGGGCACTCATGATCATAGAGGGCAACTTCCATGCTGGGAAGCTTCAATTGGCATGACCTCAGCCAAGCTCATAAACAATAACTGCCATGCTAGGAGTTTCTACAATATGTTTAAGGGGAATAAGGTCCACAATAGGAATGTCCAACCACCTTCATTCAACATCTCTCTGCTTCAAACACAAAAAACCACTGATATTTCAGTCATTTCACCACCACTGGCTTGCAATTTCATCATCGT